GGGGGGGGGTAAATTCCTAGACCCTGTTTTCGCGTATCAGAACAGCAAACGGAGAATCGTTGTCCACTGCTTTGCTGTGAGCTAGCTCGGAACTTTGAGACGCGAAGCCTTTGGCAGCTTTGTTCCGAGAAGGTCGAAATTTTGTCTGGTCATACTAGAGGCGTCGTCATCACATACGAGTTCAGTCAGCTGGTACTTTGACCTTGCCTCAGCTAATCTGGTTTTATGTCATCAATAAGGCAGCAACAATAATGAGATAAACACGAGAAACCTAACCAGAGGTAGAATTGTGCAAAGTGAAAAAAAACCGACAACCTAGAGTCTCAATTGGACAGCCACCGCACCATCTCAGTCCTCCCGTCCCCCCTGAGCAAACAGTAAATCAAGCAGGCAGGTCACTGCCGTCGTTAAAACACCCACCAGGCGACAACAGACATGAAGGGGAATGGGGACATTAGAGCAGTCGATACTCACTTAAAACACATGTCAACAAACAGTGTGAAATTCCCTGTTGTTAATTAAATGGAAATGAGTTTGGCAAAATTATGGAGAGACATGCAATTTTGTAATTTATCTGTATTATCTGCCTAGCTAACGGCGCAACCCAAATGCTTATTCGACCAGCCTGAAGTAAGTCGGTTTATCATGAACGGCAGCAGCATATCGACCAATTCAAGTACCGGTTTACTTCGGTAATCGCAGATGACGACCAACCAACCAAGACCTCTAGCCTGTTCTTATGCCACGGAACACCCTCTGATAAAAGCAGTTTAAACCAAGTTAACTTGAGATTCACAGTTAACTGCGCAGTAAAAGGCTACCAGAGAGAGGGAGACATTGTGCGCTCAAACCGAAAGCGCCATCAGTAATTTTGATCCTGAGATAAGCGGGCGTACCGCTTCGGCGACGCTTTCTCTCTCTCCAACGCACTTGATCTTCGCGCAGCGTTGTGGTTCGGCAGCATCGAGATTTTATCGTCCCCTCGAGCCTCTGAGTGCCGGCTTTGCCATCGAGTTTTATGCTCCATGCGCCTCCCCCTCCCCCCACCGCCCTCTGTCAGCACGTTAAACGTCAAACTTCACCCCCCCCCTACGCCTCCTCCCCCTCTGTCAACAGGCTTGTCGAAGTTTGAGGCGCTGCTCAATAGCTTCGAGGGGACGGTTTTGGTACGCATCTGGGGCGATAATTCAACACGATGGAAGGAGATTATGGCGGAACTGGCGGGCAATATTGAACGCAAATTCCTGCTCGATTTGCCGTACTGGCGCGTCAAGAACTTTCTCGTACTGGTAAGTCCGCTGACAATATTACCTCTTTTTTGCAAAAAAACCCCTGCGATTTGACTGCGGAAGACTTTTTTTTGAAATATTAAAATCGGCATCTCTAGGCTTGACTCTAGGCCCCAACGATGTTGTTTTCATTATCAAGCCATAATCTGGCAGAGCACGGTTGTCTCCTCAGGTATGGGGATCTTTTTGATTGTGAACATTACCTTATTTTCGGGAGCAGATGCCAAGCAGGAAAGGTGACCTTTCAGTTATCGCATTCGACTTAACTAGCCTCATACCACCACCAAAGAAACGCCGAACGTGACCACCCAAGTATCAGCCTGCAGACTATAATGCTCAAACGGGGACGACTTGAAATACAGCGAAACCAGGTCGTTGAGCTTAAGTGATAACCACCTGCAAAGGCAGTCACGGCAATCGCGGTTGTCAAATATCTGCCTGTTTGAACTACTACTGTCACACGTGGCTTCACAATACTACTTGCCGGGTGGACGGATTCATGCTAAATCCAGACAAAGCAAATGACGGCCTGCTTTGACACACGGTCTTTCCACGCAAAAAGAATTCAGATCAGACCTACGCCACTTCCGGTGAATACTTTCCTCATTTGTGATAGGAGATTAAATTGCCACATTTGTGTGAATAACAGTTGAACGAAGGAAGTACTCATAAAACGTAGATCTGATTGCTGGGATCTCATGTACAT